ATAATCCCGGTATAACCACTCAAAGTCCAGTGACGTACCAGTACATTGCTGGTCCATGTTGGGCATATATGTAACAGCAGAGAAACACAGGCATACAATGAATCCGTTCTGTGGATCAACATGACCTCAATTCATTCTTTTCTGTAATGCCCATGTTGAGGGTTAGGCCCAAAAGAGTTTTTAATTCAGAAACCATTATAGGTTTCCATGCAAATTGTCTGAAAAGAGCTGAATTTGAGTGGGCGGCCATGTATTGTTGTGCGTATAAATTGCCTTGGCCCACAATCAATTGGTACAAATCTTCTGTGAAAAACAGCGGAGGGGCTAAACGCTAGTGCTGGGAGCGAATAGGGCCGATCCTGCTAACACTGCGTTTTTGGGGACACTATACAAAGGAGGCACTAGTATAGTTCTTTACGTGATCAATATCTTGATCTGTAGAAACATTATACTAGTAATGGTGGTGATCAGCAACCTATAGCGTGAGTTTGATAGTGTGTGGGCAATATAACGCTAGCTGACCCTGGCTGGGTGGGGCACTAATTAACCCTAAGGTTATCTGATGTCACTAGCCAGGAATGTAGTGATCAGTGAAAAATTCGGCCCTCTTACCCCTCGTGTGCTGACTGTAATGTTTCATGTATTGTCCCCCCCTAATTGCACGCTGAGTTTGGCGCTATATAAACTCAATGTAATGTAATATACTGACACTGTACTAATGGTTGGTTGGGTGAGGGGGTGATCAAATGGTTAATAGGGGGGCGATCAAAGGGTTAAATGTGTGTGTGTGTAAAATGTAGTGGTGCTTTTACTCGGTGCGTTGTTCTCACTCCCTGGACCGATGGGTGGGGGGCCGCAGGCAAAACACACATTTTTAAGATTTAAGTCAGATACCTAATAAGTACCTAGAAGAAAGTTTTTTTTTTTTTTTAAATCTGAACTATTTAAACCATGACTTTTATGCTTGCCCTGAAATGTGATCTAAAGGTGCAGGCTCTGGCGTTGTCATCCTAATTTTGTCTTCACAAACCAAAAGGTTATAGATCTGGAACAGGGTGATAGTTTAGATGGCTGACCAGCGTACACTTGCTTTTGACCAGTACAGAAGCAATAAGAGACATACCACTCTTCCTAGCAAATGTCTTAATAGCCAGCCAGTGTTTCTGTCACACCTTCCGTTCTAGTTAAAATGGTCCAGAACATTAATCTGTTACAAACAAAAGGTACAACACCCATGATGCAATGAGAACATAACCTGCCTTGTTCCTATGTTAGAGGTCCTCAATCAGCAAGATGTAGAGGAGTTGTCAGGCACAGACCCACAGTTTGTGAGGCTATTGTGTACTAAATTGCTTTTCATATTAGCTGTCATACCTTTAAAAATAATGCATTTAAACAAAGTAATTAGTTATATTTAGAGATTTTGACAACTAACTATTTTTAAACAATGTCACACTTTTAAACAAATTTTTTAACCTTATTTTTATAAATAACATAAGGGTCAAGGATTTGGTATCACTGTTCATCATATGGAGTCCTATGTTAATATTTCCTAATTATGGTGACCTCAGCCTGCCAGAATGTACAGGCTCCTAATCCTTGCTGTAATGTTTTCTCATTAACCACCCAGCATTGGCCACACCGGTCGTATCAGCCTAGCAATGCCTCAGGCACCACTGGAATTAATTACCAGAAGAAGCACTGCTGTTTTGAATTGTCATCTTGAATTTATCACTTGCCACTTAATGCAACTCATCTGACCTAATACCTCCAATGTGTCACGGGGGCTCTGGCTCTGTTTCCACCGGTTGTAATATCAGGGGTGTTCTGTATGCCTAATGTTCATGCAGTGTAGAGCATACATCTGCTGGAGACTTGGATAAAAGATCCTACCCTAGAGGCATAGCTTGCTAACAATGCCCCAAGCAAATTGCAGATAACCCATACGTCATGTAACATTTGAAGTTTACAGCAGAAGCTGACACATTTAATTTTCACTTCTCAGAGATGATAATCTTTCATTTCATTGGCTGTAACAACTGCGACCATTTGTGTCTTTCCCGTTTCACTTTTTAGAGTTTAATGAAGCTGCCTGTCCTCATGTGGATAAATAAATGGCTCTAGGGGGCTTTTGGTATTAGGCCTGCTTTCCTACAGTATAAAATGAACAGAAATAGCTCATTAAATAACTCACAAAATATATATAGCCTACAGTACAGTTCAGTTAAAACCCATGATGTTTTAAGGTGCCTTTTTTCTGTCTTTTAGAATGTTATAACAGTGATCCAGCTTTATACTTTCCTGTGCTCCTTTTATTGAATGAAACTATGATTCCAGGCAGGAAACAATCGGGCTGATTTTGTGGAATGGAATTATAATGATAGAACAGCTGTTAAATCGACATATCAAGAGCCGATGCTAGATTTTTGTTAGCTATCTTGTAAAATACAATCAAATGGCTCGAAGTGAGCTGCACATATTTTACAATGTCTATGAAATATGTACAGTTTTGTTACTATCCACTGTAAACGTGATACTGTTTTTTCCATGTTATATTGCATGTTGGAAGGTTTTGCTTATTTATTATTATTTTCTTTTGTTACCAATGATCTTGATATATAATACATAAAAATGTGATAATTTTCCAGCATTGGTTTTAAAGGAGATCGAAAGAGCCCTATGGGAGAATTGCAATATTCAATATTATAATTGACAAGGAGAAGAAAATTACTAATACACACAGTTTGAAGATTATAACTATAGTTATAGCAGCCCTGTGGTTGCTATGGGGCCCAAGGGTAAGGGGAGCCAAGTCAGTGGTGCTATCAAACCTGACTATAAAGGACCAACGCCTTTGACTGGTCAGAGGAACTGATTCCCCTGTCCCTTCCTACTTATGCATTACTTTGTTCTAAGTGAAAATATTAGTCTCCCTCATGCTTCACCACGTGATTGATCTTCAAGAGGTGACAAGCAGTAAAGCAGTAAATGTCTTTTTTGCTTCCTGCCACCTGATATTGAGATATTCAAATTGCTTCTACAATTTGTTCTCAATGTGCATCATCAAGAAATGAAGAATAACCTACTGCCTGACTCCTCCTGCACGAATGGAAGGGCACTCACAGTATGGTGAATAGGGCCACTGTTTTCATCTGTTAAAAAGAAAGAATATAAAAGCAGGGAGACTTTATATCAGGAGGACAAAAGGGAAGAAAGTGACACAAAAAGCCAGGTGAGAAAAAAAACAAGCAAAACTGCTGAGACACAAATGAAGAACAATAGAAAAACATAAGCTTCCATATAGTTTCATTGAGAGGTCAGTGCCATATATGTGCTGTAGATTTCCAGCTGCTGCCGTTGTAGGTTCAAACATGAACACTAAAAATTGAAAAAAAGTTTTGTGTCTTTTCTGCTGTGGGCCCTGTTATTTCTAGCAATGCCTTATATGACCTTATATAATAAGACACAGTACAAACCATAAAGCTAGTGTGCAAAGTGCACTTCCTTTTTTAAAGCAATCACATTTCACCTTTGGTGTGTGTAGAACAGTAAGAGCAGTGGAAGTAAATGATTGGCCACTATGTATCCACATGCCTCCAGACCAGGGGCGGACTGACCATTTGGAAACTCGGGCACTGCACGAGGGCCCTGGGTCAGTAGGGGGCCCCATGAGATGTCCCTGGTACCTTTTTCATAGGCTTTTTTGGGTTTGGGCAAGGACACTGGGGCCCCATGATCCCCTATTGCCCGGGGGCCCCATGAGTTGTCAGTCCGCCCCTGCTCCAGACACTACAGAGCAATCAGTATTGCAGGTACAATCGGACTATCCTCAGTTAATTGTGTCTGCCAGATTGACAGGTAGCTTCAATATTTGACTCATCAGTCAATTGTGTTTTGTCTATGGTAAAATGGTGGTGGAGATGAGCTTAACCCCTGGATTACATATCTGCGTTCCTGTGGGCTACGTTTTGTGTGGGCATGAGAGCCCATTCATTTGAATGGATTCCCGTGCCCTGGGACATGCAGGGAAGAAGTCTCTACACTTCTTCTGAAAACTCAGCCTGCACAGGAACCTTGGTTCCCAGTACGGTTGCGATTTCCAGTGTGGGCGGTGTGCCATTAGAAATAATGACACCAGCCTGCAGGTCTGCATTCTTCTGTGTGGGTGGTGCGGCTGCACAGATTTTTGTGCGGATCCGCAGTGGCACCACCCACACATATGTGAACCTAGCCTTAGGCTCCATGCACACTAGCGTTTTTTAAGCTCCTAGAAGCTATTAGCATTGTTTTCTGCTCCTAGAAGTTAACGAGTGTTATCCTATGTGTTCATGCTCACTACTTTAGGCTATTAGTGTTTTTTGAGCTTCAGCATCCAGGAGCAGAAAAAAAATGTTTTTGGAGAGTTTTTTGGAGAGTTTTTCCAGCAGAAATAAACGCTAAATACTCCTAAACATTGCTAAATGTTACTAAAATGCTCCTAACAGCTTTTTTCTACATGTACTGTAAAAGCACTAATAAAATACTAACACTCCTAAATGTTCCTAAATGCTTCCAAACGTTACTAAAATGCTACTAAAAACTGTTATTAACAGTGTTTTTTATCCAACATTTTTTAGCTTAAAAAAAGCGCTAGTGTGCATGGAGCCTTAGACATTTCTTTCATCAGCTTATCTCAGGAGAACCCAAATGCCAAACAAGATTTTCAGACTGTTCAATAACTTCTTTTTAGTCAACGTTTTCAACAGGTACCTCACAAATTGAAATCTTCAGGTGGTATTGAACATTGCTCTTTGAACTTTGTTGGATTTCTTGATAGTTGTCAAATATCCCTGACTGGTAAGAATTAAATACAAGTATTGTACTGAGTGCCCACAAAACATCTTCAACACACTCTCCAGTTAGTCAGCACAAAAAAAAATGAATTAAACGTTTTTGCAACATAGTTTTTTTCTTGCATAAATGTGCAGTCAGACTGCCAAGTCAAGGCACTCCTACATAGGGGGCTTGAAATTTCCACTCACCTGCTCGCCAATTGCGAGTGGAAATTATGGTGGTGGCAAGTGTGTCCCCCAGGGCCATCTTGCTGAGCAGGCTCGGAGCTCAGGCCGGATCTGTCATTGGCACTGGGAGCCGTCAGACTGCTCAATAGCTGAGCGCAGTCAAAGGAAAGCAAGGAGTGTGTGCTGTGCTCTCTGCCTCCCCCTAGAGTGCAGTACCCGGATCTGTGAGTGAGCAACAAAGTGGGGGTGTGTGTGTGTGTCTGTGTAGGCATGTTCAATTGTACGTGTCTGTGTATGTACTGTACATGTGTGTATCTGTACATGGGTCTGCATGTATGTACATGTATGTGTGTGTGTACATGTGTCTGTGTACATGTGTGTGTGTGTGTGTGCATGTACATGTGTGTGTGTGTGTTTTGTGTGTATGTATGTACATGTGTCTGTGTGTACATGTGTCTGTGTATGTATGTACATGTGTCTGTGCGTGTGTATTTCTGTGTATGTACATGTATCTGTGTGTATGTGTGTCTGTATGTGCCTGTGTGTGTATACATGTGTCTGTATGTGTGTGTGTGTACATTTGTCTCTGTGCGTGTGTGTACATGTTTCTGTGTGTGTGTGTACATGTCTGTGTGTGTGTACAGGTGTCTCTGTTTGTGTGTGTTTGCTGGTGGCGAGTAACTCTAAGGCCTGGCTAGTAGCTCAGAACTTGAAATTTTAAGCCCTGAAAGTCTTAAATCATTCTTGAATTCCCAACTACTTTCAAAATATATAGTTTAACTAGCTGCCGACCGCAGATAGCCGAATGACGGCTGCACTGCGGCCGGCCAGTTCTGAGTGGACGTCATATGACGTCCTCCCAGAACGCGCTCTCCTGCGCGCCCCAGGGGGCGCGCACCCGGCGATCTCCGTGATCGCTGTGTCCTACGGACACAGCTGATCACGTGATGTGGTAAAAGGCCAATCACAGCAGCCTTTTATTACGTAATCAGCGGTGTCCAATGACACGCTGATCAGAGGGAAATGCAAGTGCCGGTTCTCGGCTGCACTTTCCTCACGCTGTCAGATCGTGAGGAAAGTACTGCCGAGAACCGGCAGTTGTCAGAGCGGGGATCGGCACCGATCATCAGGGCACTGATGATCAGTGCCCTGATGATCGGTGCCCAGCAGTGCCACCCGCAAGTTCCGCCTACCTGTGCCCAGCAGTGCGCCCACTAGCTCCGCCCACCTGTGCCCAGCAGTGCACCCACCTGTGCCACTCTGCAGTGCCACCTACCTGTGCCCAGAAGTGCCACCTACCTGTGCCCAGCAGTGCCACCCACCTGTGCCCACCCACCAGTGCTGCCCACCAGTGCCACCCACCTGTGCCCACCCACCAGTGCTGCCCACCAGTGCCACCCACCAGTGCAGCCCAGCAGTGCTGCCAGTCAGTGCCACCAGTCAGTGCCCAGGGGTGGTGCCAGTCAGTGCCGCCAGTCAGTGCCCAGCAGTGATGCCAGTCAGTGCCGTCTATCAGTACCCATCATCAGTGTCACCTATCAGTGCCGCCTATCAGTGCTGCATATTAGTGCCGCCTATCCATGACACCTCATTAGTGCTGTCTATCAGTGCCACCTATCCGTGCCACCTCATTAGTACTGCCTATCAGTGCCCTTTAGTGCTGCCTATCAGTGCCCATCAGTGCTGCCTATCAGTGCCCATCAGTGCTGCCTCATCAACGCACATCAGTGAAGGAGAAAAAATACCTGTTTGAAAAATTTTATAATAGAAACAAAGAAACTTTCTTTTTCTAATTTTTTGCATTTTTTTATTTATAGCGCAAAAAGTAAAGCGCCCAGTGGCGATTAAATACCACCAAAAAGAAAGCTCTATTTGTGAGAAAGAAATGATCAAAATTTCATATGGGTACAATGTTGCATGACCGCGCAATTGTCAATCAAAGTGCGGCAGCGCTGAAAGCTGAAAATTGGCCTGGTAAATAAGGGGGTATAAGTGCCTGGTAGGCAAGTGGTTAATTGTTTATTTTTATCAATTTGCAAAATGCAAAGTGAGAAAACAGAAGAAAAATCTAAATCAAATCAATATTTGATGTGACTACCCTTTGGTTTCAAAGCAGCATCAATTCAGTTCATCAAGCTCTTTTGAAAAAGCACAAAGAAATGCGCAAAGTTGAGGACAGTAGACATAGTGGTCAGCCAAGAAAACTTAATGCAGCAGATGAAAGACATATCATGCTTACTTCCCTTGAAAGATGTCGAGTATAGGCACAGAACTGGCAGAAACCAGTAGTACCCAGGTACACCCATCTACTGTCTGGAGCAGGGGCGGACTGACAACTCATAGGGCCCCCGGGCAATAGGGGATCATGGGGCCCCTGTGTCCTTGCCCAAACTCAAAAAAGCCTATGAAAAAGGTACCAGGGGCATCTCATGGGGCCCTCTACTGACCCCGGGCACTGCCCGAGTTTCCAAATGGTCAGTCCACCCCTGGTCTGGAGAAGTCTGGCCAAATGATCTTTATGAAAGAATCACCGTACATTCCAAAAAGCCATATCTCCAATGTGGAAACAAGGCTAAGCAACTTAACTATGCAGGAAAACATAGGAACTGGGGTGCAAAAAATGGCAGCAGGTGCTCTGGACTGATGAGCCAAAATTTTAAATATTTGGTTGTAGCAGTAGGCAGTTTCTTCATTGAAGGGCTGCAAAGCAGCAACAGTGCAGGATGGTGAAGGTTCCTTGAAGGTTTGGGACTGCATTTCTGCAAAAGGAGTTGGGGACTTGGTCTGGATCTATGGTGTCCTCGATGCTGACAAATACAGGCAGATACTTATCCATCATGCCATACCATCAGGGAGCCATGTGATTGTCTCCAAAATTATTCTGCAGCAGGAAAACAACCCTAGACATACAGCCAATGTTATAAAGAACTATCTTCAGCGTAAAAAAGAACAAGGAGTCCTGGAAGTGATGGTTTGGCCCCCACAAAGTGACCTGATCTCAACATCATCAAGTCTGTCAGGGATTACATGAAAATACAGAAGGATTTGAGGCAGCCTACATCCACAGAAGATCTGTAGTTGGTTCTCCAAGATGTTTGGAACAACATACCTGCTGGGTTCCTTCAAAAACTGTGTGCAAGTGTACCTGGAAGAACTAATACTGTTTTGAAGGCAAAGAGTGGCCATACTAAATCTTGGTTTGATTTGGATTTCACTACTGTTCATTTACTTTCCATTTTATTAATTGATAAAAAATAAAATATTGCTGTTTCTATTTCTGAAAGCATTCCTAATTTGCATGTTTTCACAACTGCCTATAGCAGTGATGGCGAACCTTTTTGAGCCCGAGTGCCCAAACTGCAACCCAAAACCAACTTATTTCTTTCAAAGTGCCAACACTGCAATGAAACCTGAATATCGAGCTTTTGGTTTAGAAAAAACAACTCGTACAGTAGTGCAAACTAATTAACAGTACAGGGATGACCAGAGACTGCGGACACAGTACAGGGATGACCAGAGACTGCAGACACAGTACAGGAGATGACCAGAGACTGCGGACACAGTACAGGAGATGACCAGAGACTGCGGACACAGTACAGGAGATGACCAGAGACTGCGGACACAGTACAGGAGATGACCAGAGACTGCGGACACAGTACAGGAGATGACCAGAGACTGCGGACATAGTACAGGACTGCGGATGACAGGGATGACCAGAGACTGCGGACACAGTACAGGGATGACCAGAGACTGCGGACACAGTACAGGAGATGACCAGAGACTGCGGACACAGTACAGGGATGACCAGAGACTGCGGACATAGTACAGGGATGACCAGAGACTGCGGACATAGTACAGGAGATGACCAGAGACTGCGGACACAGTACAGGGATGACCAGAGACTGCAGACACAGTACAGGAGATGACCAGAGACTGCGGACACAGTACAGGGATGACCAGAGACTGCAGACACAGTACAGGAGATCATAAAAAACAGTGCAGCGCTCTAAGAGACTGTGTCTACAACTAAATACTAATAAAACAATAACATTAATAAAATTGATATAATGGTGCCAAAAAAACATTAAATTAGTGCCAAACCATAATGAAAAAGCATGAAAAAAATGAAGTGCCAAACCTTAACCATATAAATGGTGTGTACACAGTTAGTAATAATAAATTACACTCCAAACATAACATCCAATAACGGAAATCTTAGCAGTGCTCACACAGTGCCACAAAAAAATAAACATAGATAAATGTATCCAAAGCAATGTCCTTTTTGGTGAAAAACGACATAAATCATGCGATGTGCAATAGTGATATTGAATGCAACACGTGACTGTGCCAAACTCCTCCTCGTTAGTGGCTAAATTGCCTCCTCACCTCCTCCTACTGACCCCAAGGGGCCAACAGGCTTGCAGGATCACCCTGGATCCTTAATAGACCATGGCCAGCAGCTTCCTTCCCTGGATCTCCTTAGAGGGGCTCCTAATTCCCCTATTTGGTCAGGGCGGTCCTGAAAAATAATAGCTCACAATCCAGTGAGCCACAAAAAAGCCTCTAAGTGCAGTATTTCAATTTAATTCGGTTTATTAGAGAGAGTAAAAAAGGTTTCACTCACATTACAGACACTCTTTCCTCTTCACTGATGTGTGGGTGTACTGCATGTGGCTGGGACCTCTTGGGTGTAGCAAAATGGCGTCTCCCGCCGGAAATGCGTCACCACGCACCGGAACTACAAACTCGCGTACCTACGCGTTACGTCACCGTCTACTCGTGACTTCATCTGGGTATCGTACAGGAGATGACCAGAGACTGTGGACAGTACAGATGACTGCTGACCTTTGGGGAGGGAGGGGGAGCGGGTACCTGAATTTGACAGGTACCTGCTCTTACTTTTTTTTTTTATCTTACCTGTTCCTTTATCCAGCCGCGCGCTGTCTTCCCGGCTTCTGTAGTGTGGGCGCTCGTCGGACAGCCGGATGCCCAGTGCGCATGCGCGAGAAGCGCTGCGCTTTGTGATTGGTCCGGCGGCTTCTGGGATCTGTCATGTGTCCCAGGTACCGCCTTACCATTCACAAAGAGCACTGCTTCTTGCGCATGCGCACTTGGGACCCGGCTGTCACGCACACTACAGAAGCCGGGAAGACAGCGCGCCGCTGGATAGAGGGACAGGTAAGGTCCCACTGCAGAGCTGAGCGGCCGGCCCGGTATTCTGACACGGCGGCGGTGGAAATACCGGACCGGCCGCTCTATATTCGCCTTATACGACGCACTGACATTTTCCCCCCTTTTTTGGGGGAAAAAAAGTGCGTCTTATGGAGAGCGAAAAATACGGTATTCTCCTGGCGTGCCCACAGATAAGGCTCGGCGTGCCGGCTGTGGCACGCGTGCCACGGGTTCGCCATCACTGGCCTATAGCGTTTGCACTGTACAGTATAGCAATGCATAAATTAAGAGCAGGTTTACCTGAAGTAGTCCCCTCTTCCATAAAGGATAAGTAGTTTGCACATTTTTTTGCGGGTAAAAAAAATGTGCATTTACTATTTTTTTTTTTAAGGAACCTGGAAAGCTTGGACCAGTGATCAGCAGATCAATGGTGCCATGCAGGCCTCCTGCAGACTGTCAGCTTTCACATTAACAGGAAGAATCAATTAACTACTGGAGTGCTCAACAGAGCCGTGGTAGTTCATTGAGAACTACAAGCCAACAGCTGCAAAGGATGTTGGTACTTGTAGTTTTCACATTCACAGAACTCTGTGAATGAATGATGTGGCTGTGTGGGCAATTCCCCGCATGGCCGTGCTCTTTTCAAAAAGTGACAGCTGGTACCAGGAACTTCTCCCCGTATTACTGTCACACAGATCAACAAGTGGCTGCTGGAGAAGGAACATGTTTCATGTGCCACCCTAAAAATGGGTGGAACATGTAACATGTTCCCTAAGGTGAACTTCAAAGGTGCAGCAGTGAAGGCCTCCAGTGTGTTTCTACACAGTAAATCCAACACAATAACAATAACAGGCTCTCAGATCAAGTTACTTAGCAAAAAGGGTAAAGGTACACATGGCAATACCAATATACAGAGTAATATAAAAAGTGTTCTCCAGCTAGACATAAAAAAAAGAAAAAACTAACTCAGGTTAAAGATAAAAACAGAGGTTTTGCTTGCATATATTTTTTAAATACATGTGAAGCCAAACTTCTATGTCAAGGTACCACTGCATTGTGGGATGATACAGTAGACATGGTCTGTGTAGGCTATAGCACCACCTGTCATCTGTAACAATAGCTACTACAATACTAACGTGGCCTAGGACTTAACTTGAGGGTAAAAATTCAAACATTACACAATGATCAAGCAATTAGTATGATGCCTTTTGTTTAAAACTGTCATAAAAATGTCTTCTTTATTGACATTGGAAACTTTGTTTTTCCTAAATGCCAAAAAGGGGAAGCTTGGAATATTGTGATTATAAACTATTTGACATTGGCCAATAAAAAAAATCAGTTTTCTTGCAGTAGGTTCTAGCTCAAGCAAATTTCTGACAGAGAACCCTGCAAATTGTTAGGCGGGAATGTTGGAGACGTCTGGAAGGACTGCAATTATAGTTATGTGAGATGGACAATTAGCTAAGTATTGTGTTATATGTGTCTGCTCTAATGCTGTGATGTCTTCTTATCTTACATGAAGAGCTGTTCTTTATTTCAAATTAATCCTTCTGTAAATCGCAAGCTTTCAGCAATTGTCAACATAATTATGGCTGATTTAAGCAGAATAATTTCAAAAACGGTTTCTAATCAGGGTGTAATTATTTTCTTTGGGGGCCCATAAAAATACAAAGAAATATGGTGTTAAACAGTTGAAATGAAGCACAATGAAAGAAAATTTCATCTAAGCACTATTTGGATCTAAACCATTTAACATAAACTTAATGTAATACCAGAAATTCAACAATCCTTTGTGAAAAGCACTTCCTGTTTATGAAGTCCCCATGGGCTAATAACAGGCATACACGTATAAGCATTTAAAAAAAATATTAGGAGTCACTTCTCATGCTCAGTATGCTATAGCTGTCAGTGGCAGTGGCAGGCAGAGACACATCACGCCCCTCTCTGACTTCCAATCATAAAGTGAAATAGGCTTGTACCACAAATGAATCTGGTTGTCTGGTTTAGGAGATCAACTAATTTGCATATTATTAATCAATTCAGCTTCACAAACTGAAACAAGTTAATAGGATATATTTATAGAGAGAATAATTTTTAAACAGTTTTGTCTTTTGAGATTGTTGCATAGATTGTATTGGGGCAGTGTTCTTCTTAACATAAATAATTGGTTCCAAAATGAAGCTAAAATTAAATTCAGGATTAGGTACATGTGTTGTTATCTGTAGTCTTTCCAAAATGGCATTAAATCATGACATTTGGCGCTCAGGTTACCTACCCACAATGGACATAAATATGGCCAATCTTCATTAGTGATTATACTTATTGTGATTTCATTAAGGTCCATTGGTTTCCTACACTGCAAGTAAGACTGAGCACCACAGCAGATAGTGGTTTATGACCTCTATAGTGGCTTCTATTCACCCTGTGATGACTGCACAGCCAATCTGTCTGTAGTGGAAAGCATTAGGCAGCACAGTGGCTAAATGGTTAGCACTTCCCCCTGGCAGTACTAGGGTCATTGGTTTGAATCCCAGCCATGGCAACACCTGCCTGGAGTTTGCATGTTCTCCCTGTGCCTGGGTGGGTTTCCTCTGGGTACTCCAGTTTCCTCCCACATTCCAAAGACATGCTGGTAGGTTAATTGGTTCCTGTCTAAATTGTCCCTAGTATGTGTATGAATAAATGGGAGTTAGGGACCTTAGAGTGTACACCCCTTGAGGGTTAGGGACTGATGTGAATGTACAATATACTGTATATGAAAAGCACTGTGTAAAATTGATGGTGCTATATAAGTACCTAAAATAAATTAGGCAATGTACAATTGAATTTCCAGTTTAAATCAGCTAAATGCATTTCAGGTGCATTTAAACAGAAGGGGGAAGATTTACTAAAACTGGTGAGCACAGAATCTGGTGCTGCTGTGTATAGTAACCAATCAGCTTCTCAGCTTTATTGTCAAAGCTTAATTGAACAAGCTGAAGTTAGAAGCTGATTGGTTACTATGCACAGCTGCACCAGATTCTGTGTGCACCAGTTTTAGTAAATCTCTCTCAAGGTGTTCAATGCCTTGCAGTTTGCTTTCTTTCTAAAGCAGCTAGGTGGCTTTGAGTTTAAACTGAAAGCAAACCCCAAGTGTTGAATAGATTTGACAATATTAAAGAACAACAATGTCCAAGTTTACATCTTGCTATTTAAAAGTGCTCATCCATTTCAATTGTTGGGGATGGCCACACTTTAGGGGCTCACATTGTCTGAGCATTTGACATGCAATACTGGCCCATAGTATGATTCCATTATGTTTTGATCTTGTTGAACTCCTGTGGAAGAGACTTGTCGAGAAATGGGTGCACAGGTCCAATTATAGTCTACTTAAACTGGTTCCAAAGGCAGAAGGTTTTTTTTACCCTAATGCATTCAATGCATTAAGGTAAAAACCTTCTGCATGTAGCTTCCTTCCAGCCGCCCTTATACTTACCTGAGCTAAAACTCAATCCAGCAATGTGCATGAGAGCAGTAGCTCCCTCTGCTTTCTCTCTCCTCATTGGACAGAAAGGCAGCAACAGGAGCCATTGTCTCCCACTACTGTCAATCACAGCCAGTGAGGAGGTAGCTAGAGCTGGGTTGGGCTGGCTCTGTGTGTCAACGGACACACAGAGCTGGCTCAGGAGTGAGCACACACAAGTGCCCCCATAGCAAGCTGCTTGCTATGGGGGCACTCAGCAGGGGGAGGGGCCAAGAGCGCCAGCGGGGGACCTGAGAAGAGGAGGATCTGGGTTGCTCTGTGCAATATGATTGCACAGAGCAGGTAGATATGACATGTTATTTTAAAAAATTAAATATTTGCCTTTACAATCAGTTTAATTTATTTGTTTATTAGATCATGTTTTCTGTTGTACATTGCTCTAGGCTGAGGCTACACTAGATAATGCTTGACTCCCTTATTGGCCTATCCCCCTACTTAGGTAGAATGGCTAGCAGCTAAGCCTCCCCACCCCATAACATTTTTAATCATATATCAAAGGCAATACTCTTCAGCCTCCTCCGGGTTGCATAGAGTAACCTCTCTCTTGTGAATCCACTACCCCCAATTAGAATAGCCAATCCCTATTCAGGCATTGACCATTGGCATATATTTCTGTAGCTTTCCAGATTACAATCTGTATTTGGGGGATTTATCCTTCTTTACCACTCCTTCCCGAAATCTCTGAGGTAAGAGTGTCCCAGTCACTCTTCCGCACACTTTCCTCCTCTGTATACCTTTCCCTCCACCCTTCTCACCTCACTTGATCTGTACTTTTCTCCCTACCTCCCCTTCATCCCCCTGCATTCCCCATTACTCTCTGCCCTGTTCAGCACTTTCACAAATCCACAGGTCCACTCAGGTGGGTAAAAGCCCTAGCCCACACAGGTTCGCATCCAAATTTTACAAAGATACCTACAAAGATCTTCTCAAACCCTTTCTACAAAAGTTTTTAATCAATCTCTAAAGACTCCATCTTCCCTCTCCAAGCTTTGGAAGCCCATAATCCAGTAAAAGATTAAGCACTTAGCCTGAATTACCGCTCCATATCCCTAATTGATTTGGATCTAAAATTATACTCCAAAAATGAATAGCTAACAAACTCCAAATCAACTCTATCCACAACAAGACCAGACTGACATCCTCCATTTTTGAGAAGCTACTCCTACAGGATTTACCCCT